CCCCGGGTCAACGGCGGCTGGTAGCAGCCCCGTGAGACTGAGCAGGGCTTGTGGCACCATCCGGCTGCGGCCAGGGCCAAGGCCAGAGGCGCTTGTACCGGAATGTAATTGCTATGCTAATTGGGAGGAATGAAGGCACGCCGTGGGCGAAGGGCACCGTGCTGACCTTCATGAGGAGATCCCAGCCCTCATGCAGGCCCCACAGTGCATGATGCCAGCATGAGATGGGGCCGAGGCCTTACCTCGTGTGCCGTGGCCCTGCCTGGCATCTCCTTCACCCCCGACATGGCTCTGCCGCTCCTGCCAGGCTCCGTGAGCCTTCCGCCTGCAGCGCAAGGGCTGTGCAGCCCCTGCCGGGCACTGACCTCTGCTTCTCCCCTCTCCACAGGGGCCATGGAAGCAGCGCTGATCTTCCTGTGCTCGCTGTTGCTGCCGGCAGCTCTGGCGGACGGTACGTGGCTTCCACACCAGGAAGGAGGAGGAGGAGGAGGAAGCGTCTCTGCCTGCTCAGAGGGAACGGGAGCGGGGCTGCAGGCAGGGGCCAGCCCTGCAGCGCTGCTGGGCAGCGGCACCCCAGGGTGATGGGAGGCCGAGCTGTGTCCTGGGTGCCACCAGGGCCGGGAAGTGCCCCTGTGGGCTCTGCTGGGACACTGAGAGGGTGCAGGCTCCCCCAGCATGGTGCTGCCGTGCTCATGCCAGCCTGTCTCTTCATTTCCAGTGAGCACCGAGGAGAAGGAGAAAGATCCCTTTAACTATGGTGAGTACCGTGGCGTGTGCGCGTGGGACGCGCGAGCCGGGGCGCGCGCCCGTGGGTGCAGCAAGAGGATCTCCTCCTTCCCACGGCCGCTCACACGAGCCTTCCCCTTCTCCCACAGACTACCAGAGCCTGCGGATTGGGGGGCTGGTGTTCGCCGTGGTCCTCTTCACTGTGGGCATTCTCCTCATACTCAGTGAGTGGGGGCTGCTGTGGCACGGGGGATGAGGCTGGGCCAGGAGGGCTGCTCCTGTGGGGAGCCATGGCCTGGAGGGCTACGGATCCTTCCCTCACGGCTTCCCCCTCCTCTTGCAGGCCGGAGGTGCAGGTGCAGTTTCAACCAGAAGCCCAGGTGAGTGCGGGGAGCATCTCCCCAGGAGCGCTCGCTGCCTGCCGCATCCCTGCCGTGCAGAGCGAGCGTCCCTCTCGGAGCTGGCACCCGCGGGGCGGCAGAGCTCCCGGGCAGGAGCTCTCACCTGCTCCTCCTTCTGCAGAGCACCAGGGGATGAAGAGGCTCAGGGCGAGAACTTGATCGCTGCCAATGGTAAGAGCCGCTCACCTGCAGCGTGCCAGCGCTGCCTGCCTGGGCCCGGCAGGGCTTCCCGCCGCCCAGCGAGCACGG